GAGGGCATTTTGTGAATTTTCTATAAATTTTTGCAATGAGGATTTCAATTGAAATTTGCTTCACATTATAAAGTAAGAGTCAAATTTTACAAAAATACCCATAGATGTAAAAAATTGATTACCAAAAATGTTTATGAGGCATATGCTTAGTCCTACGTTAAGAGCATTAATATAATAAACTTAATGAAGGATACATTGTAAATTTTTTACAATTTTTTGCAAAGAGGAAGTCGTTTGAAACTTTTTCCGGATTTCAGAGCGAGAATTTTTCCAAAAATCTCCATATGTCTCAAGAAATAAATAACTAAAAGTTTGAAGAAGGATTTGTTTACTCCAAACAATGATGTGTTAAGAGCATATGCATAATTGACGAAAAAAAGACAATTTGTGGTTTTTTTATACTTTTTTACAATGAGGAACTCATTTGATATTTGATTAAGATTAAAAAATTATCGTCTGTTCTTTAAAAAAATCCTTATATGCCAAAAAATATGAAATTAAAAATTCTAAAGAGCAAGTCTTAGTTCAAACAATGCTACGTTGAAAGCATGCATATAAAAATAAAGGAATTTGTGAATTTCTTTCAGCATTTCCGTCGAGGAATTCATTTGAAATTTGATTCAGATTACGAAGTAAGAGTGAAAATTTTTCAAAAATACCCGCAGATGTGAAGAAATAAATATTAAAAACTTTTCCAGAAGCATTCGTTTAGCTTAAACCACGCAACGTCAAGAGCATATATATGGCTAACATAATTGAGCGAATAACACTTTGCGAATTTTTATAATTATTCGCAATGACGAATTCCTTTGAAACTTGTTTCAGATTAAAAATTTAGCATTAAAATTCTTAAATATACCTATAGTATTGTAAAAATAAATAAATCAATTTAATTTTTAATCAACTTAACGAAATTTTTAAGAAGCATTTGCTTATTCCAAACCTTGCTATTTATAAAGCCAGGCTACGTTATTCCTCTGAAGAGCGTATCAGTATGGTTGAACTCTCATCCATACTGAGGAAGTGTGGTGAAGCGCTCATCCTATAGTTGAAGGGTCATAGATCCGAAATGGGGTGAAGTTCTCGTCCCATGCCACTATAGTTAGTTATAGAGATCGTCAACCCTAAAATTGGGGTGTAGCACTAGTTTTCCCCATACTAATTTCGGTAAAGAAATTAACTTTTGTGGTAAAGCGGATGTTACAGATGATGCACCCAGTGTGCCAACACCTTTTACTGTAACATAATCTGGAAGTTTTTACAGTGCACCAAAAATGCATCTTACTGCATAGAACTACGATCATTGGGACAAAAGTCTTTTCTCGTCGTTCTTTTTTATTGTATTGTATCTTAAACTTTAGTTTAATTTTATTTAATTACAAATACATCTTATTTTTTTCTAATAGTAGTAAGAATGCATCTTAACGCAACGTAGTTTTAAATAAGAAAAATTCAAACGAAAACGCTCCTAAAATATTCTTTCAAAAATTATATATCTCTCTTATGCTAAGAAAGCATAATAAAATGTGAGCAAAATTCACTCCTCAAAAATAAACTTTAAAAATTTAACTCTGACAGTGTGTTTCCCTAACTAGAAAAAAATACAGGAAACTTAAATTTTTCTCGTATCCAAAATGTTTAAAATAAAATTGTAATGAATATTAATAGCGCATCGTTCATGTTTACCTAATAAAAATTCATATCATGATATTCAAGAAGACACTTTTTGCATTATTTTTTTATATATTTCTGCAAACAAAACATCACTTTGAAGAGTTACTCATCCAAAAATAGCAAACTAGTCGTCTTTAACACGACTAAGCCATGCAAGACATTTACATCCAAAATTCTGAAATACACTTCTGATGCCTCTGAATGGGAGAAAGCGGTTCAGAATAGGAAAAAAAAATCCAAGGAAAAGAAAAACTATGTCCCAAAAGAGTAAAGCGTGCGAGAAGCATGCATTAAACTTCCCTCCACCAGAAAAGAAAAAAAAATGATAGAATGAAGAGAAGAAGAAAAAGTATATTGTGTAACAGAAAAGAAATTTCTCGCTTGATCTTGATGGAACACGTTTTTATTTATATTTCATTCGCGTATGTTAGAAAAACTTTTTTTTTATATATTAGAAAGTAAATAAAAGTGAAGTAATTTACTGTGGCTTTGTGTAAGTGCAAGTGCTATTTTATTATTTTTTCTTATCATTTTTTACACTGCTTTGTATAAGAATAGGAATTATCAAATAATAAACTATTTGTGATATGTTTGCATACATCTGTGCTTGATACAGTAAATATTTTTTTTTAAATTACAAAGAATTAAAGATTTAAACTTTCGTTTTTTTTCTCTTTTTTTTTTGCTAAAAGAATTTATAAAAGAAAAAGGCTCAAAGAGCTCTAAAAAAGAATCCTGACTTTCGAAATTAATTATTGTTGTAGCATATATATATATCGTTAAGA